CAGAAAGCGAACAGGTCTCCTCTTCACGGCAGAAAGCGAGGTCGTTAATCCTATGCATTTTACATGGGGCGGACTTGATAACAATGCCATTCGGAGGAAAAATCTCGAATATTTTATTATCTGTTCTTTATGTCTTCTCCTTTTTGTGTGTTTATCGATTTTCTTTATTATTTTTTTGTCTTTATATATATATATATTTTTTTTCATTTCCATTTTTTTCTGTCCATTATTTTCTTCATCCTCTATTTCTCTTTTCTCCATTTTTAATATCCGATATTCTTATCTCGTCATTATCATTATCTTGTTTTTATTATCATTGTTATGTCATCATTATTATTGTTATTGTTTTATCATCATCATTATCATTGTTATTGTTTTTATTATCATCATTATTATTGTTATTGTTTTTATCATCATCATTATCATTGTTATTGTTTTTATTATCATCATTATTATGTTGTCATTAATCATCATTATCCTCTGTCATTATTATTTTGTCAATATATTATATATGCATTATTATCAACATTAACATTATCATTACCAACACGCCATCATCAATATATACTTCGCTATAAGCAGTGTTTATACATTTCTTCTCCACTTTATGAATTTTATTAATTGTCTATGTTTCCTATAATACTTACATTCCCCCCCCCTCCCCCGATAATACGGAATCAAATGATATATCTCTCTCTCTAAATTAATTCTTTATCTTTTATCTAAATTAGAGGTGTGTTTATATAATCCTCCTCCTCATTATTAATTCAATTAATTAATATTGTTTCCTATGATATATATATTTGTTTCCCTCTTCAATGATACATAATCAAATATTCTCTCTCTCTCTCTCTCTCTCTCTTCCATCTCTCTCTCTTCTCCACTCTCTCTCCTCTCTCTCTTCTCTCTCTCTCTCTCTCTCTCTCTCTCTCTCTCTCTCTCTCTCTCTCTCTCTCTCTCTCTAAATTAATTCTTTATCTTTTTATTAAAATTACAGGTGTGGGACGAAGAGCTCAGCCGCATCGTGCAAGCGTGGATCAACCAATGCATTTTCCAGCACGACTGTGGCAAGTGCAGAGAGACATGTGAGTCAAATGAGAGACTTTTTTTTATTTGTTTATGTTTATTTGTTCATTAATTTGTGTATTTTTTATTTTTTGATCTTATTATTGTTTATTTTTATTTATCTATTCATCTAGTTTATTTGAGAGCGTCTTTTCTTTTTCTGTTTATTAATTTTTTTTTATCTTTCCGACTTCCACCTAATGAAAGTCAAATGAGCATCTTTGGTGTCGGGATTCTCGGATGCGTGGAATAAGATAAAGCGAGAGAGAAATGGGAGAGAGAGAATAAGGGAGAGGGAGATGGAGGGAAAGGAAATGGGGGAGAGGGAGGGAAAGAGGGTGAGGGAGTGAGAATGAGGGAGAAGGAGGGGGAAAGAATGAAGCAAAGAGAAAAATGGGAGATGGAGATGAAGATAGGGAAATGTGGGAGAGAGAATGAGGGAAAGAAAGAAAAGAATAGAATAGAATAGAAGAGATGAAAAGAGAAGAGAGAGGAAAAATAAAACAAAAATAAAGATATAAACGGAAAGAGAGAAAGAGAAAGAGAAAGACAAGAGAAAGACACAGCACGAACGGAGAGTATGAACGACAGAGATCGTCAACTCAAATTCAAATTCAAATTCAAATTCAAATCAAACTTAATTCATTGATTATTCCCATTACGAATCAAACTGCCGCCCGCATTTTGTATAGACGTAAATCACTGTATACATGAATGGCCATGAATGAGAAATCTACAATATATTCAAATGACTTTATCAAAAAAAGAGAGAAAAAATATGGACGACGTTTTCGAAATCATGAAAAGAGAATGGGAAACGAACGCAAAATGGAATAAGATATAAACAGATTAATATATCAATACATGATAAATAGATAAATTAATGAATAAATAAATGAATGAATAAATAGATATATAAGTAAATAGATAGATAAATGAAGAATAGATACGTAGATAATAACTGTATAAATGAATGACCATGAATGAGAAATCTATAATATATTCAAATGACTTTATAAAAAAAAGGAAAATGGAAAACGAACGCAAAATATAATAAGATCGAAGGAATAAATAAATAAATGAATAAATTCCTGAATATATAGATAGATAGATTAATGAATAGGTAGATGAATAGAAAGATAAATGCATGAGTATATAAACAGAGAAATAAATGAATGCATGAATACATATATAGGTAAACAAAGGAATAAATCAATGAATAAGTAAATAAATATATGAATAGATGAATAAGCAAATAGATAGATAAATGAAGGGAAGAATAGATAATAACTGTATACATGAATGGCCACGAATAAGAAATCTACAATATATTTAAATGACTTTATATAAAAAAAGACATTTTCGAAATCAATCGTGAATCAATCTCTATTTCTGATCAACGAATGACTTAGAATGGAAAAGAACAAAGAAATTG